TTGTGTTTTATTAGGAGATGCACAACAGTTCTTCTGTGGCTTTATAGGTAATATTTTCACTTACACAATTTAGCAAAATCAGACAATATTGTGTCTAATATAAACCACAATATTAACTTCTTATTATTGAATTGTTGTAAATAAATACCACATTTGGAACTGGTCAGTGCTCACAAGAAATGCTGGGAAATCACTTCATGTAGCCCCAAGAGTGATTACTGATAAACTGTCTAGAAAAAAAAAAAAATCACCCACTGACTTTCAAAGCTGCTAACGACTTTCTACTTCGAGGACCTTGATAGAAATGTAGCGGAGTGAAAAGTACAATATTTGTCTTTCAAATGTAGTGAAGTTAAAGTCATAAGTTTCCAGAAAAAATTATACTCAAGTAAAGTACCGATACTCAAAAAGTGTACTTAAGTACAATACTCAAGAAAATGTACTTAGTTACTGTCCACCTCTGCTGATAATACGCTTCTTTGGTTTTCATCTTATTTAAGTGACAGGAAGCAGTAGGTTCAGATTAAGAATGCTCAATCAGAGCATGTTACAGGTGTTCCACAGGGGTCAGTGTTGGGTCGGCTTTTATTTATTATTTGTATGCTACCCCATTTTTTTTGCATGTATAGCATTACCTTCCATTTTTACGTTGGGTCTAGATCCGTTTTATCCTAAACTCAATCTTTCATCCTGCTTATCGATAATTCCCCAGTTAGTACTTCCACCCAGGTGTAAAGTTTTCATGTTATATTTGATGATTTGCTTTCTTTTGGTTCCCATATTAATAATATTTCATGTACTGAATTTTTGCATTTACGTAACATTGCCCGACTCCGTCCATCACTTTCTCAGTATAGCACTGAAGTTCTTATTCATGCTTTGGTTACATCACAGATGTGATTATTGTTATTCTTTTATTTGGTCTTCCTGATAAACAACTTCATTGATTGCAGTTAATTCAGTACGCAGCTGCTAGGATTGTTACCTACTCACGTACCTCTGATCACATAACTCCCATTCTTTTCCAACTGCATTGACTTCCTGTTTGTTATTTACGGTCAAATTTACTGTCATTAAAAACTAGTTTTACCAAAAACCTACCATTTTATGAAAAATCTAAATATTATTTCTAACACAAAAAAATGTTGCTAAATATGTTTCCATTTTGTATTATTAGTGGTGGGGCCAGTAAAAATCTGAACTACTGGTCTGTTCAGCCCTGCAAGACTTGATTGTTTTTTCTAATTTGGAAAAAAAATTACACCTCACATATCCTTGCAACTAATGTGAATGTTTCCTCACTCCGTATATAAGGTGAATCACCTATGTGAGAGAAAGGCAACCATGCCTGTATTACACTGAAGCAAATTCACAGCATTTGTCAGCATTGGTTATCTCTAAACTAACAAGTGATTTTATTGGGGTTTTGTGCAAGATTTATTACTATTTTTATTTTTACAATTATTTTATTTTTGAACCTTATTGATTATTTTTCTTATTCACTGTGGGCTATAAGATAAAATTATCTGTAAACTGCTTTGAACAGTATTTTTTGTGAATAGTACTGTAAAAATCCATTTGAATTGAAGTGTAAATGCTTGTTTTCAGATGTGTGTGTCTACTGTTATTCTAATAGTAAGCAGAAAAAGATATGCTCATTTACTTAATACAAACTAAATACTTTCCACATATTTTAATGATTTTTTTTATTCTAGTGAATAACAAAATAGGTGATATTATCTAGATTTTAAAGTAAAAAAAAATCAGTCTTTTTCATTTTTGGTTTTGTCCAGACATTTCCAAAACCGTAGTTCTTTACTGCTTTAAATGAGTTTGTAGGTATGTCCTTTCTTTGAGTCTTCTGATTTGCCTTAATTAGGCATTTTAGGAAAATAAATTTGTTTGTTTCTGTAATGACTGAAGGTCCTAACATGTCAAGGTCACTCTCAATGTTAGAGCGGTCCTGGTTTTCATTGGTCTGCTCGCACCAGAAATTTGTGAAAAGGTGTGGTAACAAGTCAGCAATATCCTGAAATAAATGGGGAAGACCACATTTATTCAGAATTCTGCTGCAGTGGAGATCATCCAGATCGACATGAAGGCTTCAGTCACTGTGCTGCTTTTTTTGAGCCTCTTTGAGCTGAATGTCAGCGTCTACAGATATCATATTTTCGTGAACGAGACTTTGTCATGGCAAGAGGCACAGCAGCGCTGCAGAAAGCACTTTGACGACCTGTCCACTGTCAGAAGTAAAGATTTAAAGGATTTATCTTACAATTCTCTAATTAAACAGAACCATTTTTGGATTGGTGTTCAGAGAGACAGTGCAGACAATGACAAATGGATATGGTCAGAAGGTGGAGAAGCAACAATTACATTTTGGGAGGATGGACAACCTAATAATTATCATCAAAAATGTGGTGCTGTCTCTAAATACACATTTCAACTGAATGACAAAACCTGCAATGACAGTCTACAATTTTATTGTATGAAGGTCTATGAGCTGATTGTGGTGCATCAAAAAAGCACATGGGAAGAGGCCTTGGAATACTGCAGACAAAACTACATTGACCTGGCCATAATAAACTCGGAAGATATTATGGAAGAAGCAAAGATTAACAGCACAGTAGCCGATACAGATGAAGTGTGGACTGGCCTGCGCTTTCTAGCTGGTCGTTGGTTTTGGGTAAATGGAGCCGGTCTTGGATATAATGTCTGGTCTTCAAATGGAGAGCTCCAGTGCCCTGCCATGAACCAGCGCTGTGGGGTTTATGATAGAACAAAGGGGGTTTGTAAACCCACAGACTGTGACCGGAGACTCAACTTTCTCTGTGTCAAGGAGAAATACGAAGATTGACTTGATTCATTTTAGGAGGTCAGTAGATGTGACACTATAGGAGGAGTTCCTTGAAGTGTCATTTTCAGAAACTTTCATTGCTTTGCTTTTAATGGCTGAACATGAAAATGAAATCAAACTCAGTGACGTACTGTTTTCTTAAAACTATAGCCAACTTTAGCCAGACAGAAAGTACTGTAGCTTATGATATTCATGTAAAATGCATGCCAATATGCAAGTGTGTCCATAAGTGGTGCGCAGCTGCGTATACGCGACCCAAATAAATAAAAAAATGTTCCGGGTAAATAACCTGTCAATTGCGTACTGATATGGTTGACAGCTGTTAGTGAACAATCACTTTTTTAGATTAACTAACTGTAATACTTTTTAAAATTTCCATTCGAACTGATAGCATAAATATAGGCTTTGCGCTACCAGTTTCAGCACAAAATGCAAAACTGTGACATTTCATTCAGTGACATATTTCACTCGGCTAAAACAGACAACGCATACACTTACTTATTGGCAACCCGTCAAAATAAAAAAAATTATGTTTGAAAATGTTAAAAATCCATATTTAAAAAAATTTAATGTAAATATTAGCAATTAATTTTTAAAGTGTACTATAAAATAATTATTTTTTTATTTAATACTTTTTATTTTAAAATATAATGGTATTATCACACTTTATTATTTTGTTTATATTTTTAAAAACTAAATAAAGTGCAATAATACTATTATGATTTATTTCATTTTTTCTACTTCTATTTTACTTCTATCAGTATGAGCACCAAACCAAATCTCCAGGTGCTCTAATGAGAACCAGTCCAAAAAAATTGTTCACCCTAACCAATATTTTCACGCGTAATATATCCTTTTTAGCAACAGTCTTGTAACTGATATTTTCAATTAGTACATTTCTAAACTTATTTGTGAAAGAAAAAAAATATTTTTTAATATATACTATTATACCATGTTATATCTGATTTATCTTCTTTTGGAATCATTTAATTGGTGGCAGCATTGGAGAGCATCTAGAAGTTCTGACACCACATAATTGCTTTCTTGGAGTGAATTTTATTTTAAAATGTATTAATAATGACAATAATAATTTCATTATTTTATAGATTGTGTTGAACAATGTTTTTAAGCTGTGTGCTGGTTTTAGTAATAAGCAAAAAAAAATTTTTATATAAATTAACAAAGGCAAGATATTCTATTTGATCTTGGTTTTCTTGCAGGCATACCTAAGAGTGCCTAAAGTCCAGAAACACTGTTAATGTTGATAAACATAATGCTGAGTGTGGTAGACTATCAATAATGTATCCAATCTATGTAGTTCACTTTAAGATAGACAGATGTTTTAAGGCTGGCTAAATTTTTTTTTTTTTACTGCAAATATTTGTAAAATAACTTATGCAAATGAATACTTACAGTAATATTATTAATCAAAATATGGCATGTGTATGTTGTTCGAAGTTGTGTAGCCTGTGCTTAAACACAATGAAAAAGAAAATCACAGAAGATTGTTGACTAGGTGGTACTTAGATATTCACATTTGATCAGAAGTAGTTCTTGAAAATGATTTTGATGGTTAAAAAAAGCAGAAATGTGAAGTTTGTATTTTTGATGCATATGCATTTTTTTTATAAAAAGAAAGCGATACCATGTTTACCGTTTTTCACATTTGCTAAGACACTAAACTCCATTTTCTGTACCAAATTCTCAATACCCTAAACCAATGTCAAATAAATCACTCTTTCAGCAAAACTTTAAACAAGTTCAGGCATTTTAGATACTGTTTGCAGATCTTATGCAAAACTCTAAACGCATTCTCACTCATTACAACGCAGCTTGCACGGTGATAAACTTGTGATACAAAACCCTAAACACAAGAAAGCAAAAGTCAAGCACAACTGCAACACAGTTGTCATCGTTTACACACAATAATTCAAAACTGTTCACACTTGTTTCTAAATTTGTGAATGTACAAAATAAAGTTCAAAGTGCACAGATGGCATGGGTGCGTCCATCAATCTGAGAGGTACGGAAGAGTGCGTATACGAGGTGGAGGAAGAGGAGGTCGAGGAAGAGCAAGAACAAGAACAGTCATTTCAGAGCTACTGTGATAGACCATGTTCTTGTGCATGCGATGACAGAGGCAGGACAAAAGAGTTCAACTTAATTTGAGCAGATTCTCTGTGCTGGCCACCATACTCAGTTGGAAAGTTCAAAAGAAAAGTGGAAGAGAATCTTGTGTAGAATTGCAAGACTACCATATTAGAGTGGAACTGGCCTGTGGTGACATAAACGTGCTGTCTTGTCAAGGCTGG